TTAACCTTGTGTCTTTCTGAAATCAATGGGACCAAACTCAGAACTTGCTTTTAATACTTTAAGGGAGGTACCAGCCATATTGTATTTATGAAATGCATGGATTACAATTATCGCTTTTGCCACATTGGCTGCTTTGTATTAGAGACAAGCCATTGTAATTATTGATTGTAACTTTTGAGCAATTTAAATGTTTAGATGAATATCAGGTTTCTGTAGAACCAAAACAATTGCACATAAAAGACATGAAAGTTGCTCTCACTGGATTCCATTTAGATATGTAAACTCCCAAAGTGTACGGTGAATTAATTGAAGTCTAAATATTTGAAAAGTATGAGGCATCCATGTTGATGCTTTGTCAGTGGTTGTGACCACTACTCCTATGGCGCGCCCCTCCGTCTACTGAAGAGAAATTTAAAGTAGACCGTTAGGCAACTTTGTCTCCGTGCGAGACACTATGTGTCGTTTAGCGCACCCTTTTTATGGCGAAATATTTAGGTGCCAAAACAGTTTGGTTAAAATGCCCTCGTTAAATAGTGCAATAAACGAACTTCCAATTCAGTAAAACAGACATTTATTCATTTGCAAGGGGAATATGTTGCTCTTGTTCAACCTTGTTCCATGAACATTGACTTTCATTCGGATTGTATTTTTCACATTTAAAACGCTATATTATTTTGGTCCTATTATTGTAATTGTTCGACAGTTTCTCATGAATTGAAATCTGCCGATGTTACATATAATGATAAATTACAGGACGAAATTTCAATTGAATACATTGGCGTTTCATGAGTTATTGCCCAAACAAGTGTGTCCTTTTTGTTCCGATTTATTTTTTCACACATGGCATAATTATGGTATCGTTCTTCTAGCAGAAAGTCTGTGGATTAGACGATCACGTGTGCATAATACACACCACAGCCGTTGTGATAATATCCGTACATGTTATGTCATTTGCATTCATCCCTATGTAGCCCACCAATTTATTATCGGAAGCGCACTTCGATTAAAGAGTGTCCTGGTAATAACAGCATGTAAACTTATTTCGTCTGGCATGCTGTCATTTAGAAAAAAAATCAAGCAATGTAGGTGATTTCTAGCGATCATTCTATCGACTGATTTTTGGGATGCAGAGTGCCGTTGACATAGCTGTTTTTACCTCTCTGCCGAGAGGCTCGAGGGGTAAAAGGGAAATTTATTCTAACTAATATAAGAGACTAAAAAAACACTGTTTAGATATTTTGGTAAAAAGACTGGCACATAGTTGTGTTAAAATGTAACCGTAAAAGGGCCGGGGGGCGGAATCCGCCCCCCCCCTCGACTTTTTCCGCGATAGCCTTTAAACAATTTATCTTTTTTTTCGCGACACGAGCTTTTATGACTTTTTAGCCTCGAGCTTGCATATCTTTTGACACCAAAAACATGGCAATCGGACAAGGGGTTGTCGCGCAGCGAAATTTTTTTCCGGCGCTACGCGCCGTGAAAACTGAATTTTCCAATATACGTCGTGTACACAAACCAGAATTTCCATTCATACATATGAATAATTAATTAGCCATAATTCCAAACCCTTTGACCTTTGGTCATGACATTTTTTGGGTATGTTTATGAAGAGTTGCTCTATGCATGTACCAAGTTTCAATATCTTTTCACACTCGATAGCTGAGATCTTAGGGGGGGGGGGGCAAAATCCGCCCCCCACCGGCTGAGAGATGGTCAAAATAACCCGGCCCCTTTAGGGTTAAAAGAGGCAGGATTTTGGGTAACATGCAAATGTTGATTTTAGGCAATAAAACACAGCTTTTTGCTACAAAATTGCAAAATTCAACAAAATTTGTCAAAATATACTTAATTAATTGGCAAAATATACTTAAAATTGCAATTTATAAAAATTTTGCTTTTTTACCAATAAGTGCCTTTTTTCACCCCTTTTTTATGTCAATTTTTTATTTGATGTATAACTGAGTGCATCTTGGTATTTTGTACCTGATCTGCTTCAAAGTGGTAGCTAACATGACCATTTATTATATAAAAAAAATATGACCCTCAGTATGACATTTTTACGGAATTGCCCTTTTGAGAACTTACAATGTTAATTATCATTATTGTCCATGATTTGACTTGTAAACCATAACAAGCTGGAAAAAAATTGTGGATATGAAACAGATTTGCGAATTTTATGCGTTTTTTAATTTTTACCTCCAATCGAATGACAAAGATCGACTTGGATGTTTTATAAAACAAGTAAAAATGTTTTTGCATTCATGCAATGGTGAGAATATTTTCATTTGTCGAAAGATGAAATGTTTCATTCAACTGGTTGACTTTGATGGAACATTCAATCTTTCAACTCATGAAATATTTTCACCATTGCACTCTTAAACATTCATTATTTGTATAATAAACTACTAATGATCACGTACCTACTGTAATAAGGGGAGGCGTACTTTGTTTGGCTTCTGACGCACTGAGGACACTGTCGATATATAAAAAAACGTTTTGATGGCGCAACAAACTCGTCATTTCCCTCCTGGTTGACAAGTAAGTGCTTCTGGAGAACAAAAGCGGGGGCACAGGGTATCAAATCTCTCTGGACGTTATGCCAAATAAACCTCAGTAGAGTTTGTCTTGTGGGAGAAGTTTCAACTGGTGAAACATAGTCTGGATGTCGCCTGAGATTGCTACATTAATGGGTGCTGGCGGAATCTGAGGAAGACTCCAAGCAGGGAGGCACCAAGCTTGGGCCCAGGCAAGAGGTGCTGGTTGAGGATCCTCCCATCATGTTTCGGAGGAACAGTCGAACTGCCATTGTTCCAACAAACACGGTGTGGACAGTGTGGGCAGAACCATGACTCGTCTGTCCGGTTAGCTTCGTCCTCTTAACATAGCCCGCTCGCATCGACCAACTTCTGGATCTTCTAGTTCTGGATTTTGGCCAGTTTTGTCTGCTTTTGAAGTTTGTGCTCGATGTTTCTAATCTGAACATGGCTACTTCTGTGTCAGCATGAAACTAAACCCCGTCCTTAGCACGAAGAAGAGGAGTTGCAAAGCGCAGTGCATGGTCCTTCGTTATCGACTCAATAGTCTGGTCTTCGAGTAGGTCGATCACTTGCTGGTCTTATTTAACACTCCATATCACCATGAACTTTTAACCTTAAGTTATTGTCATCATGGAGGGATAGCCTATTCACCTGCACCCAATACATGTACATCTGAAACGGCAGTGTCTACGCACATATACTTTTTGCTTATCCTATTCGGAAATTTACCACGTGTTCAGTGATTAAGTGATTCTGGAAATTAAAGCTTTTCTTGTAAAGTGTTTGC